CTTGTTTGACTTACATATTTAAATTTGACTAGATGATAACCATTGATATGTTGTATCCAATGGTACAAATTAATTCTCATTTCTTTCACTATCTATCATTCTCATATGATCATTTCTCTCTCTATATATATATATAGTATAGAGATATATATACTAAAATCAAATTTATATTAGTATAAATGTGTTCATAATCCCTACATACTCATATTTAATGTTCTTGCTGAAAAAAAGGTAGTTAAAAGAGATTAAAAATAGATTATAACCTGATTATTTTATAGACTTAACGCTGATTAAAAGATGTGAAAAAAAAAAATAATATATATATATTTTTTTAAATTTTAGACTTAAACGAATAGAGCCTATAAAAATAACTTATTTAATATCTATGTGTCGTGCATCGCACAAACGTACTAATTTCATTAAACCCAGGTGTCAATTAAACAAATAGTACTGGTATAACATTAGACGGGTGATAGATTAAAAGGGTGAAGAAAGTATGCATACATTTATATAATAGATTAGGGATAACTTTCATATTTTCTATTGTTTTTTATATAATACAATAGGGGTAACTTTTTACAATGCCTCTAGCACGAGTGTAAAAGGTAAATTAATAGCCACACTAGCTATTACCAGTATATATAGAGGCAGCTACCACTCATGGATTCATCAAGTAGATAAGAATCTGAACACACGCAAATCTACATAAACTCATATCCTTTTTATTTTATTTTATTTTCAAGGTGGATGAAATGATGATGAAGCGGCTTAGTAAATACTTAACAGTCCTCGTTATTGTGGCACTACTAATTTCCGTTGTCCCGTTGTCCTCATCCACCAGTTTTAGCGTCGAACTAATCGATCCGGCCAACCCTAAACACCCTTTTTATGAGCCTTATCAATATAACACGACCTCCGCACCAACCATCCACACACCTGTACTAAGGTCGGGGTGGCAGTACTACGTAAGCTTCTCGCTAGGCAACCCGGCCCTCCAACTCCTAGGAGCCATGGACCTCGCCAGCGACCTCACGTGGATACAATGCCAATCCTGCAAACCCTGTGCCCCACTCCCTGATGGGGCCCACGACTTCGAGCCCCAACGTTCGTCGACGTACAACACTGTACGCTGCCGCTTCGGGCCGTGCAAATACTCTGTTAAGTATGCCGATGGCTCAACCAGCACTGGAATTATCTCCACCGATATGCTCAAGCTGGGCAACGGAATGTTCCGTTACCCAATCCAATTTGGGTGCGGGAACGCAAACATGGGGCTGTCCGGTGTGGTCGGCCTTGGGGAGGGGAAACTCTCCATCGTGGGGCAGTTGAACGGCCCGAGGACGTTTTCGTATGGGTTAGTGCCTGGCTCATCCGTTCTCACCTTTGGAGGGCCCACCGTGTGGGGCAGTAGGACCCTCATCCTTCCTATGGTAGTGTTGGGTTTTGCTCTTTGTCCCACATCGATTGTGGAATGAAAGAGAGGGAGATTTTTCTCCTATACAAGAAAGTGCTACTTCTTATGTTAAATCATCCCACAGAGTTATTGTGTTAACAATTAATCTCTGGTAAAAAATTCCTTAAAGTAAAAATTCCTTAGGGTGAGAGTTAGGGTTAACGAGTAGAAAATTCTGTGGGGTAATTTTGGGTAAGTGAGTGGTAGAAAAATTATGTAATTTTTTTTTACATAGTAGATTTTCTACGGCCTTGTTGCCCTGGTGGTTTTTCCCTCTTCGTTAACAGAGGGTTTTCCACGTTAAATTTTGTGTTCTCCAGTTTTTTATTTTCAGAGGATCTTGGGCGGAGTTTCGGTGTGGTTGGAATTCCCAACAAGTGGTATCAAGAGCGAGGTTAGCCTAGTTGGTATTCTGAGTATGCTCTGTGGTTGCAGTTTTGTCTGATCTTCCACATCAGAAAAGATACCAAAGAGGTCTCTTCGTGCGGTGGAGCCAGTGACGGGTGGAGCTTGTGTGCAGAGGAGTTTTTTGGGCAGTGGGGAATAATTACTGTGTAAGTAGGTTCTGTCTAGGAGACTGGTTTTTTAAGTGGGACCGTTGTGACCCCACCAGCCTTTCCTGGGAGCTTACTTAGAAGGGTAATTCTTTAGGGGGCAGGTCGCTACCCTCCCTGAGAATTTATCTGATCAGTACTATTAAAGGTTGCTGCTCGGTTTTCTGCGAAGTTAGTGTTCACTGATTCACGAAGATGTCTGGAAATAAGATATCGAATCTGGCGAGATTTGATGTGGAGAAATTCGACGGAAAAATCAACTTTGGCTTGTGGCAAGTGCAAGTGAAGGACGTGCTGATTCAGTCGGGGTTACACAAAGCTTTGAAGGGCTCGTAAATTCCCAAAGGCAGTGCTACCAGCAGCACTGAAGAAAAAGCTGGTGTGAGCAAATCTGGAATGAGCGATGAAGATTGGGAGGAACTGGATTTGAGAGCGGCAAGCGCGATACGACTGTGTCTGGCCAAGAATGTTCTTGCTAATGTGCATGGAATTTCGACGGCAAAAGCATTATGGGACAAGCTTGAGGAGTTGTATCAGGCTAAAGGCGTCTCAAATCGGGTGTATCTGAAGGAGCAGTTTCACACACTGCGAATGACTGAAGGTCAAAGCATCTCAGACCACTTAAGCGTTCTCAATTGGATCGTCTCGGAGCTGGAATCCATTGGAGTGAAGATTGATGATGAGGATCAGGCGTTGAGACTCATCTGGTCTCTTCCAACTTTTTATGAACACATGAAGCCGATCTTGATTCATGGGAAGGAGAAAATTATATTTTCTGAAGTCACTGGTAAACTTCTTGCGGAAGAGAGAAGGCTAGACGGTGGACGAAACAATTCACCGGAAGGTCAAGTCATGCTCGTCGGTGACGGAAAGAAGAGGAACTCCAGGAAGAAGCAAGTTGTGATTTGCTGGACGTGTGGACAATCTGGGCACGTGAAAAGAAATTGTCCGAAAGGAGGAGCAGGTTCGGCAAAAGGCTCCAAGTCGGTAAGTGGAGATACCGAAGAAGCTAATTTTGTCTCTCTCTCCATGGATGAGTTTTGCTAAGAGAGAAAGGGGAGTCCTTATGGCATGTCGCTAAGTGTCATGAAAGAGGATGTGTTAAAATTAGCGGGTCCACAGTTTACACACGGGCATTGGTTTGGCGGTGATGCAAGGTGTGGTGGAAAAAGCGTGTCGAGGGCTGATGAACTTCCAGGAAAGCCAAACGTGAAAGTTGCACCATAGATTTCAGCAAGGTTATTTCGACATGGACCGAAGAAATGCTTGGATGCGAGTCCGAGTGGATATGCTTTTATGGTGGATCATGATGGCGAAAGCTATGAAAAATTTCATCAAAGTGAATAGTGGCTGTCAGATGGGCCAAAATCGCAAGGTGGAGTTTGTTGGGTTTTGCTCTTTGTCCCACATCGATTGTGGAATGAAAGAGAGGGAGATTTTTCTCCTATATAAGAAAGTGCTACTTCTTATGTTAAATCATCCCACAGAGTTATTATGTTAACAATTAATCTCTGGTAAAAAATTCCTTAGGGTAAAAATTCCTTAGGGTGAGAGTTAGGGTTAACGAGTAGAAAATTCTGTGGGGTAATTTTGGGTAAGTGAGTGGTAGAAAAATTATGTAATTTTTTTTTACATAGTGGATTTTCTACGGCCTTGTTGCCCTGGTGGTTTTTCCCTCTTCGTTAACAGAGGGTTTTCCACGTTAAATTTTGTGTTCTCCAGTTTTTTATTTTCAGAGGATCTTGGGCGGAGTTTCGGTGTGGTTGTAATTCCCAACAGGTAGAAGGGCCGAGAAACGGTCCCACGGGCTACTACCTCTACCTGCTAGGAGTCAGCGTCGATAGTAAGACCCTACGGCCATCCAAACCCTTCATGGGAGCACCGATGCTCGTGAACCCGCAGACGATAGTGACGAGGCTTCCGTCTGCTATCTACGATGCTCTCGAAACAGATGTGCAACACAAACATCTGAAGCAAACAAGAGATCCAACAAGGGTATTCGATCTGTGCTATCATGCCACAACAGACGACGAAAAACACTTACTTGAAACAATCACTTTACACTTCCAGGGTGGGAATGTGAGTCTGCCTAGGGAAAACATGTTTGCAAGACTCAAGGATGATGATAATAATGTAGTGTGCTTGGCAGCCGTGCGAGCACAACAACACACCGGTGCAGTCTACGGTAACTTTGCGCAGACAAACTTCTTCGTGGGATTCAATCTGGAAGCGAGGGCCATCTCATTACAGCAAGTAAAGAAAAAGAACTGATCGATGCTATGTTAATCTAAGTGTCGTGTGTCTCGTCTCCTTCACAAATAGTTTAATATTACTAGTGTCGCAAACTTATGTTTTTATGCAGCTACCACTGTCCTGCCTGCCTTACTGTGTCACTTTCCTTCCCTAACAAAAGTCTTGTGTTTCTTGTCATGTCCTTTCATATCATCATATTTCCTTTGACCCCACCGGTATAGCCTGAGGCATGTTTCCAAGCTGAATGGATGACGAATCTTATCAAGTAGAAAATAATTAACATTAATAATAATAATTGTTAATTTGAGCTGAATTAATATGTGGGAATTTCTTTCTTTTTTGTCCCAAAATTTACTTGCTTTGCATTTTAGTAAGTCTTAATTTAGTTTGGGAATGGAAGATACTGTTGATTGTCTCCGTCCCGGCGAGGTGTTGCCGGTTGTAACTGACCCATCCCCCAACATTTCAGAGCAGAGGCAGATCCTGCAGTAATATATTTCAATAGAAATTTCAACATATATTCAATTGAATAGCTTCAATTAAAATGATTCCAATGAACTTTGTATATTTTATTTGATATACAATCCCAATCAGACCGAATGATTACATCAAGAGATTGGGATCTTAGAAATATTGAGTGATACACAAGCGAGGAAGAGCGGTCGGAGGATCATGGCTTCCGGTGGAGCTAGGAAAGGTAATGTATTTCAATAGAAATTTCAACAAATATTCCAATTGAATAACTTCAACTGAAATGATTCCAACGACAATTGTATATTCAATTGATATATAATTACAGTCAACCCGAATGATTACATCGGGAGATTGCATTACAGGAATAATAAGTGATACACGAGCAAGGAAGAGTGTTGGGAGTGTTGGCAAAAATACGCGGGATTTTCCATGAAGCTGGATCTATAAAAGTGAAATAGATGCGAAAATTTGGATACACCAAATTGATAACGGAGTTCGGTCAATAATGCCTACGTTTCCAGACTACTGTAAATAATTTATTAGGAGAAAAGAAATACACTTGTGTTTACAAAACACTCTCAAACTCACTCATAACTCACAACTTAAATACACACATAAGCTAAAATTTTTGCTTCTTGCTCACACTTTTTTTCTCTTTCTTTTCTCTCTTTTGGATGTTGTATCTTGGTGTGTATTTTCGTCATTCATTTTGCCATCTATTTATAGTTGAGGATTGCAATGTGAATTGCATTACCAATTGTAAAAAAAAAAAAAAAATT